CCGAAACCGATTATTCGTGTGACTATATCCAATGGTGACATTGAGTAAAACAATAATCCAAATAATAAATTTAAAACTTATTTTAAAAGTTAAGAAGTTTAAATTTTAAATTTTATCTAACCAAGTATTTAATATTTGTAAGAATACAGTGAATAATAAGTTCACTGAATAGAGAGCAATGCCGATACTGGGGCCGTATTCTGGTCACTGTCTCTGGTCTCTCGTCTCTCACAAGCCGGTCGCTAATTTGCTAATCCAAATAATTAGCCAATCAGCGACCGGCTTGTGAGAGACGAGAGACCAGAGACAGTGACCAGAATGCAGCCCCAGATGTTCAACCTGAAATTTGTTTTTTTGTCTGTGTAGAACGCTATATACAGATACGAGCTCAATCTCCATATCACTGTCTTCACTACAGTGTATATCATCAAGATATCTCAGTGAAAGGAAGTCTCGAAAAATCAGATCTGGAAAATATGCATACCAATCAATTCCCTCTTACGATCTTTTCTATATACAGTAGTCTCTGTAATACGACATATATCATACAGTTGGGTATCAGATTTCATCAAATTGTCGGATTACTGGGTTTTGAATGTATATACGTACAGTAAAGTTAAATACGCACTTGGTTCACATGTTAGTTTACGTATTAATCACGACTGTGATCGTACGTGCAATAAACAACTAGTAATTACGCTAGAGAATAAACCCATATATCAGTCTCTCTCTGTCACAAACATCGACAGTGGATAACATAAAAATTTCAAATGTCTTGCCCTGCTAAGTGTCGGATTACTGGATGCATGGGACTGACAAGTGAGACTTAACTGTAAGTAAATTAGACATATCGTAATAAAGCATAAAACCCTATATACTAATTTATAATTTGTTATTTTACAGATCAACAATGTATTGTATTTTACAATCCTGGCAGTTACAGTTCATTACTTTCGAATTTTTGCAAAGGATATCAAACTGTCTGTGCAAATAATATAATTTATTATATCAATGTTTTGTCGCAAAATTGATGTAGTTGATGAGTATAAGTATCTGGGTGTAGTTTTTCAGTCTAATGGGCGTTTTTTAAAACACTTAAAGTATATTCACAGTAAAGTGTCATTCGGAATCGATAAAATTATTAAAACTTGTGTATTTGCTAGATTGGTACGTTGGAACGATAAATTAAAATTATTTGAGGCGTTTGTTCAATCAGTAGTGTTATATGGATCTGAAATTTGGGGCTTTGATTGGAGAGATAGAGACGATAATATACAAATTAATTTTATTAAGCGTTTATATTTTCTAAAAAGATGGATTCCATCGTATATTATATATTTGGAGTTTCAAAGAGTCCCCCTTTATTTTAATATAGTAAAAAATAATTTAAAATGGTTGTGTAGACAGTCCTCTAGTAAACTTACAGAGTCCGCTAAAATATTTTTGATATCTCAAAGAGTAGCGTGGGGAGACCAAATTGTGTCTTTGTTGCAAAAATTTGGCTATCCAAATGATCCTATAATACTAACTGAAAATGAGATTCCTGGTATTTTAATGAGTTTGGCGAATAATTATTTAACTGAGTTTAAATACAAGGCGGTTAATTATAAATATAATAAATGGTATTGGGATGTATTTAATGAATGGGGGTCGATGACCTATCTGAATATAGAAAGACCTTTTTGTATTACACAAGAGACCCCCTCTGATTAAAATGAATAACAACACCATTAAAGTCAGCAAAACACTGAAGTATTTGGGGGTAATCATGGGCTTTCGTCTCTCCTGGGACAAGCACATAGAGCACATCACCGATCGCACGGCTTTCATCATGCAAACGTTCGCCCAAGTTGCTAGAAGAGACTGGGGTGTTAACTCCGGAGCCCTTTCCATCATATATGATAGCATCTACATCCCTATTGTCGCTTACGCTTGTGGCACGTGGGGCTGGGCCATCGCCAAAGTGCACGCGAAAAGAAAATTAGTGTCCTCTCAAAGGCGGGAACTACTTCTCATTACAAAGGCCTTCCGCACGACCAGTAATTACAGCCTGCAGGTGATTGCCCGTAAACTCCCCATCGACTTAGATATTCAAAGAAAGCAAAAAATGAAACAAATCAAATGGGGCAAGACTATTCAAGCTGGCTCTATGACGTTTACACATAATGATATTGAATGGCCCCTTCCCTATTGTGACTCAACATTTCCAGGCAACCCTATTGTTAACATCTCTGAGAACATCACCACTGCAGATATGGACATTTACACAGATGGTTCAAAGCTTGACAGTGAAGTGGGCTGCAGCTTTGTTGCCTATACAGGGTGCATCGAGACTTACAATCAGAAATATCGCCTTGACAAAAACTGCAGTGTCTTTCAAGCAGAGCTACTGGCTATCCAGATGGCCATTGACTGGATTAATGATAACTTCTACAATATTGTGGTACACATATATACTGACTCGATGTCTGCCCGCAACATCATCCACAGCATGAAACTACATCCTGTTGCAGAGAACATTAGGAATAAAATAAATGCCTCTAGCTGCACCTTTGGTGTGTATTAGACTAGATCCCACCAAGGAACTCTCGGTAACGAGAGGGCAGACTCTCTCGCTAAAGCCGCTGCACTTGACCCCACCATCAGCATCTCTTATCGCAAGCTTAGTCGTAACACCCTTCGAACCATTCTCTGGGAAGAAACAGTTAATCTCTGGCAAATCACCTGGAATCAGAACAGCCATTGCATTACTCACAACTTTATTCCAAACCTACGTGACTTTCTAAGTTTGGACTGGTATGCGCCGGATTACCATATCTCTCAACTACTTACTAACCATGGAAAATTCGCGAGCTACCTATACAGGTTCGCACACAGAACTTCCAATCAATGCCCTACTTGTCTCGTTGAAGATGGCACCAAGCACTACCTTACGATTGTGTTATGATGGACAGTGAGAGAACTGAACTCCGTCTGTTACTTCATGAGATTGGCATTGGATGGCCATGCCAGCCTAAAGACATTTGGACCAACCGTGAAATCTTCTCCTCTTTCAAAATACTCACTAGGAAAATAACCCATGTCACGCACCAAATTATCAACTGCTAACATGTAATTCTAATTTACTAGTAATTATTGTTTAATCCTAAATTCTACAAAAGTATCGTGTATTGTACTATTTCCTATTTTCTACTGTAAATAATTGCCATGATATGTATTGTACTGCTCGCGAACCTTATGATGTATCTGTACTCTAATTGTCATGAAATAACCTTATATATATTAATACTATTATAATGTATTGTAAAATGACCTCATGTACATATTGNATGTATTGTACTGCTCGCAAACCTTATGATGTATCTGCACTCTAATTGTCGCGAAACAAACCTTATATGTATTAACACTTACTATTATAATGTATTGTAAAATGACCTCATGTACATATTGTATACTCCCTCCCTGGTAATGCTTATTGCGAGGCCAGGGCATATACATTATTGTACCGTAATAAATTGATTGATTGATTGATTGATTGTATTACACAAGCAGTATTATATGTGCGATGTAATATGATTAGAAGAATGTTAAGTCCATGTATGGAGTACTGTGAATTCTGTAATATTACTTTTAATTTTGATGCTTTTCGTGTAATAACGGAATGTAAGGCGCTGACAGCAGTCAGACGAAAATGTTTCGGTGAAGCATGTCTTTTGATTCAAGCATATAAACGGTTGTTGCAGGACTGGAATAGATATCATTGTATTTATAGCTTCGTAACTAAGTTGAATGATTGATTTTGTAATAATTATAAAACATTTCTTTTCCAGATACTTACCACCAGGAGGTGCAAATTGACTATTTAAGTGCACGATTTCGTGTCTGAGAGTTGGCAGCGTTTATGGTCGGCGTTCTTGGGCGTAATTTAAATAATTGTTTAATTTTTTGCAGGTAATGGCTTACTTTTTTCTGTTTTTTCTTTTGTTTTATTGTGTATATGCCGACCATTCGCTGCCACTGTTTTTTGTTTCTCCATATAGATTATTTATAAGAATATAAATATTATTGTTTTAGATCATATTAACCTTGTGTTATTTTTGGATTTTTTTTCTTTTTTCAGTTCAATTGTCGCGCGGTGTATTGCTTTATTGTTATTTTTTTGTGTTGGTAAATATAATAATTTGTAAATTTGGTAATGTACAGCCCGTACAGACAGGGTCTCCTTGTACTAATAAATAAATAGAATAAATAAATAAATATCAATGTTTTCACGAGTTATACGATATTATAACACAATTGTGTTATATTCTTATTTACACAATAATTTAAATTACTTTAAAAATAAAATTTCAAAATGTACATTATCACTTAGAGTTTAATTAAGAGATCGATCACGAGTATGGCTGCGTAGTCAGCCGAAAACGTTTGATTAATTAGTAAATACTCTGTACATCAGACTTATTATTAAGACATCAAATATTACAATACAATTTCTAACTAAAATACATATCTACTTAACGAGAAAAAATACTTTATTTTATTACAAAATTTAACTTAAATGCATTAAATAAATAAACTTACTTTTAAAATAAAATTTCAAATGTACATTATCTTTATACAGGTCACTTAGAGGTTAATTAACAGATCGATCACGAGTATGGCTACGTAGTCAGCCGAAACCGTTTGATTAATTAGTAAATATTCTGTACATCAGACTTATTATTAAGACATCAAATATTACAATACAATTTCTAACTAAAACACACATCTTCTTAATGAGAGGAAATACTTTATCCTATCACTAAATTTAATTTAAATGTATTAAATAAATAAACGTAAGAAATTAATTATCTTCTGAATAAACTTTATTTTAAAATCCCTTTAAAATACTTAAAATTGTCAATAAAATTGTTGTTGGCAAATTTTCAATCGAAACTTTTAAACAACATTTATATCAGTTTATTATTGATATTCAAGATGAACTTCATAATCTTCTTCCCAAGCAAATGCCACACTGCATTTATTGCAATACTAAAACGAATTGACTAATGGTTCGTGAATTATTTTGTGTTCTTCTAAAGCCTTATGACTACAGAACACTTGAAAACATATAATGCAATTAAATGGGTATAGATCGTGCATTGCACGATGAGCATCCAGGTTCGCTTCCGTTTGAAATTGACTATTACACACAAGACATATCAATGGTCTGTATTCAGAATAAGTGGGAAGTTGGTGAATTAAATTATTTTGTTGTTCGAAACGACGATCGCTGGAATAATCGCTGGAAATTACATTTGAATAACCCGTTGTATTGTTACTCACTTCCATTCCGGGGAGGAAATTTCGATGGGGTATTTCGCACTGATGTAGTTTCTCCCTCAAATGTCTTTTGCAATGACAATCTAATACCCATTCTTCAGGAAAACATTTATCACACATTTTGCATTTGTAGGTTTTCTCTTCAGTGTAGAGTTTTCGATGATAATATAAAGAGCATCTGTTCCTGAAACGTTTATTGCATATTTTGCACTCGTAGGGTTTTTCTCCTGTGTGAATTCTAATGTGACAATTCAAATAGCGCAATTGAGCAAAACATTTATTACATGTTTCGCATTTGTAGGGTTTTTCTCCTTTGTGGATTTTGAGATGACTATTCAAATTGCCCAATTGAGCAAAACATTTACTACATGTTTTACATATGTAGGGTTTTTCTCCTGTGTGAGTTCTGAGATGATTATTAAAACTGCTGGAATGAGCAAAACATTTATTACATGTTTTGCATTCGTAAGGTTTTTCTTTTGTGTGGGTTCTGAGATGACGACAGAAACTGCTGTAATGAGCAAAACATTTATTACATGTTTGGCATTTGTAGGGTTTTTCTCCTTTGTGGATTCTAAGATGAGAATTCAAACTGCTCTTACAAGCAAAACATGTATTACATGTTTCACATTTGTAGGGTTTCTGTCCTGTGTGGATTTTGATGTGATAACTTAAACCATTTTTACTAGTCAACGACTTATCACAAATCTTGCATTTGTAGGACATTGTACTATCTCCCTCTATCAACACCTACAAAGGAAAAAGTGCATTTTAAAGCTATTCATTTATATTGCAATTTTTCCTTAAATTACAGTTAATAACTGCACATACTGATAGTAGTTTACATGTTTCAACGTAAAATTTATCTTTTTCACAATTCCCTATATTAAGAGTTATTTTTCAAAATAAACACATAATAATTCCTATATGCAATACTGTACAGTAGATCTACCTATAAAACCGTTTCCTATAGTCATGATTCCTATAAAAATTGTGGCAGTATCCGTAAACAACGGTAAAAATAACTCCTATAATACGTAAAACGTCATCGGGCAGCCGAACTACTTTCCCGCCGTCCGTAGCGCNAAAATTTTTTGGCATGCTAAAACTTATAAGAATAATAGGCCCATCTCCAGCACTAAAAAATAGGCAGAAACGTCATATGATGTGAATAAGGAAGTATGGACTATTATAAAGCCCCTGTATCTGCACATTAAATATAATATAATTAAAAAGTATTAAAAATTTATGATAATAATCAATTTTTGTAGATCCTTGACATTAAGGACTCAGGGCTTAAGCCCTACTATCCCCACGTAGATCCGCCCCTATACACAATACACGTATGTTGACTGGGTACCACAAATATGACACTGACTTAAACAGCTAACCGCTAGCTGCCAACATAAAAGCTAACACAAATGGTAAAAGATTTTACGCGTTAGAATAATTATTATCGGCATATTTCTTCTCAAATAAAAAGTATATTGAGATTCAAAACTTTTTCTTAAACATGCGTCAATGTTAAGCAAGCGCTGAGTATATCTCAACTTCATGTATTGGCTTACGCTAGTTTAAAATATCATTTAGACTCCATGCATTTTTTGAAATTCTTATGGTTTTGGTACTAAGCGTCTATTGTTCTCTAAAAATTTGGCACCTCAGTTCAAGTATTTCGTGTTGAATCGCTCCCATTTTCTCATCATTTTCCAGTGAGATATATTTATCTACTGGTAATAGACCCCCTTTGATAGAGAGGTGTCGTTTTGCTAGGACCCATTTTGTTTGGAGTAATTCCAAAGTTGAAATGTTCCAGGATGCTTTCACAATAAAAACTCTGAACTCGAACTTGTCGATGATTTTTACAACTTAATTATATCCTGTCTCCCCCTATGGAGCCTTTCTGTTTTGAGAACATCACCGACTCGATAGAGTTGATGTTCTTCCGTCGTTTTTCTGGCCTAGAGAGATCGATCCCGCCATACGCAATTAGATCTGAATTGGGCCTAGATTTCCCTCCAAAACGTTTTGTTAAAAACACCCTTATTTTTTTCAAAAATATTTTTCAAAAACTATACGAAAAGTGATACTAAACTGGAGAGACTGCTTAATAGAATAGCTTTTTAACCTTCTCTAATTGACTCATATTCAGATGTCACGAAATTTTACACCAACACTATCTTATGTGAATTTTTTTCTTTAGAGAAGAAAGAGATAGGATACTCAAAGCCAAATACCATACGTGGTACCCGGAAATACTAGATAACTGTCGGTGTTTATATGTATACAGTAGAACGTCGTATATCCGAAAGCTGGTTATCCGAAACGTCTGTTATCCGAAAGCATTCCAGTCGGCAAATTTAAATTTTCGCTAGTGCTGTGGCGCTGCATACTTCGGCTATTTCTTGGGTTACTCAAATATTTTACGTTTTTGATACTAAATTAACGTCTGAAGTATAATTTTTTTATTGATTTTATATCTTTCAATAAATTTATTTTGTTTGTACAAAATAAAAAAATAATTTTTAACGATACAATAGTCTTCGTTAGGCTTAAAATCGACGAAAATTCAACGCGAAGCGACACGCAACGGAGAATAATTTCAACATGGGATAAATTAATATATTTTTTCGTACATGATTCGTTATCCGATCCACCCCAGTCCCCAATTGATTCGGATAAACGACGCTCTACTGTATTATCAACAACTGCCGTTTATGATAAAAAAAAAACGATTGCTCAGATTCGACTAAACAAGTGTCGTTTATATGAAAAAATTTGTGTGTGTTCATCAGTAATTTGTGTTTATTGTATGCAGAGTTGCGCAACCCTGATGCATTATTTCTTTGATAGCTTGAATTCGGCTCATATTCGTTTATTAAATATTAATATCTAAATAACTACTAAAGAATATAAGCTTTGCTTGAAGATTCGATTTCGTTTTCCTAATATACCGAATAAGACGCACTTCATTTAACAATTTTGATTTCACTTACAAAAATACAAAGTTTTAATTGTATGAGATTATTCTAATTTTAAAATATTTCAGAAATTCACACAATATAAAAAGCCTTACTTACTCTTTGACATTCTGTCGATTTACACGAACAATTTACTTTATCTTCGAGCATCTACAAACTCACACACGTCGATTATTTAACGTAATTTGCATAAAAAGGCGTTGTGTTTTAAATTTGAATAACAGTAAATATGATTAAAAATATTATTTTTTTATATATTTTTATGTTATAAAAATTACTTTCTGTAATTTTTATTTAATATTTCTTCGTCTTTTTATGTTTAAAAATTTTACAAAATTTGAAATTGTTTTATTTAATATGGAGTTATTCACAAACTTTTTTGACAAAATTAAAATAAGTTTATTAATACATATTCTTTCACACTTTCAGAATTTTTAGGTGTTTAACAGACTGTCAATATCCTTAATATTTGCCAATTATTAAAAGTTAAATAATACTTTTGTCATTTTGATTATTGCTTGGTTGCAGTGCCGTAACTAGGGCAATGCCAGCAGTGCCCAGGCACAGACTTCAGAAATGACCTGTACCAAGTTTTGGGTCATAGTTTTGGGGCGTAGTTACAGAAACTCGCACCGGGCACATAAAAGGCTAGTTACGGCGCTGCTTGTTTGCCTGAAAACATGTCTGAACCAACATGTCGAACCAACATGTCTGAAAACTTGGCTCGTTGTGCATGGAAAAACTTTTAACGTTTTCTAATTTAGCTACAGACTTCTGCAGATATTAAAAGCATTATTACCATTTTCACATCTCAATTTAGTTCACCATTATTGTCTTCCTCGTCTACTTCTAAAAAATCAATACAACTCCTTCATTACCATAATTTAAGAAATTTAATGTCAGACAGTCTTGTTGAAACAAATTCAAGTATATCAGCGTTACTAAAAAGTAACTTCTATACATTTCTTACTTACGAATAGAAGGAACTAGAACTCAATTGGATACAGTTATGCAACAAATTCTGTTAAATTGTGGTTTCTGATTTAACTAATGAGTAGAGTATTGAGGAAATCGGTTGCAAGAGTCTTAATAAAGCACAGTGAGAAAAAACTGAGCAGCGGCACTCGCAGACGGTAAAAATGGGAGCATAAGCTATAAAAAAAGAGAATCGTTCAGTGTGTAAGAAGCTTCAAACTTTATGATTCAAGTCGGATCAGCGCTCACAAAAAATGCCGCTGGTTGCACTGAGACAAACTTATAAGCGGTTCTTAAGTACATAAAATTATGGCCGCATACGAAATTCATTTAGCATAATTGATATATCGAGTTGTGAATTTTCGTTATAGGAAGAACAGTTGGTCGCTTTGCCACGAATCGTACTTATAAGACATCTATTATATTTCCGTTTTGTCGTAATTTTTATGTTCCAATACGTTTGCAATTTAGAGTTCAATTACAATGACATTTTTACAGCTGAAAAAATAAATAATGTACTGTATATATACCCCGTACATCCTATTTTATTGAATGTATACCGTTGACGTTACGATAAACAGTAGACAGGTTTCGGCCGAAGTTTTCATCTTTAAAATGTGAACGTCAAGCGGCGCTTGACGTTCGACGTTGACGTTCTAGAGATGAAAACTTCGGCCACAACCTCGCTAATGTTGTTTTGTTCAACAGACAACATAGTTGCATGCAACAATGGACACTTAAATATGGTTCATTAGATTTTTTTTACATTTGTAGAATAGGCTATCAGTCATTAATTTTCTGTTATACTTTGTGTTTAAATAAATAGATGCTTGGCAATGCTCTTACGCTTCGTTCGACACTAGTAATACAGTAGACCCTCCCTATAAAACGAGTTCATATAATGCAGATTTGTATATAACGGCGAAAAAATTGCGATCGCATTCGAATAAACACGCTAAAAGAAACTCGTAAAATACGGTAAAACGTCATCGCTGACTCGTGTCGCGACAAGATTGGTCGAGTCTAGACCAATAGCGGATAACGCACAAACCGTTGAGTTTAAACGAGCAGCGGACCTACTAAAAACCATTTATTATTTAACGTACATAAAAATTATATTTATATTAATGATGTGTCGAAAGTTCAGCAAATTTTTCGCAGAGAAATAATTTATCAGGAAACACGCACCCGCCGTTCGATGCGCCGCTCCACGACGAAAACAAGGTTAAGCAATGGCGTTGTCGAACGGTGCACACTCGGTAAGTAATCCTACAATTTTTTGTTTATAGTAGGGGTCCCCAAACTTTTTATCCTGTCGACTCCTTTATAGAATATTTGCCTTCTTATCGACCCCCAGATTAAGTATTTAACAAAAACATTAAATCATTTTGGCATTTCTAATGTTAAGCGATAAGGAGTTCTACATAACAACTCAACAAAAGAATTTATACTTCCCATATCTTATAAAATCCATCCAATAACATTAACAGAAAAAGGAGACCTTTTTCACTGATTTATGATCTTAAAAAATAATAGCAAAATTAAGGATTGATGGAAATTTGCCTATAGTTCTTAAACTGTACGTGTCATAATACGTAACATACACACTTATCTTTGAAAACATAAGTTATATTGGATGAAAAAAACCTCTTACTGTCATTTTGCGACTACTACTGAATTCCTTAAAAGTATGTTGACATGCCTTTTTATTAAAATAGTTGATATTAGTGGGATGGATGTGTCTGAAGAGAAGCAGCAAGATTATTGATATGCGGTTGAAAATTGGTAAGTTTTAGTCGCAAATCACCACAGTTTTCCAATTTCAATCTGTTACTCTGTTTTGTCAAAATTGCGTTCGCGTGGCTAAAACCAGCTTCAATCGTGTATGAAGTTGGGAATGCAAATAAGAAAGGTTCGGCTTCTGC